CAGTATATATGTGACTCTATAAAATGAAAATGAAAATGAAAATAAACATATTTACACTAAAAAAAAGAAAAGCCTTCATGGAGAGGACATCGTTCCTCTTCCCTTTCTCTACCCCCAATCCCCCGCCCGGATATGCATGCAGTGCTTATTGCTATCGCTGCTATTGCTCTCAGCTACCGCATCTCTTTGCTGCATGACAGATCCGGGGGGATAGGGATGGAGAAAGTTTAGTATCCAACTTAATATTGCCTTAGAATTGTACATATAACAAAGAAACTAACTTAATTCTTCAGCATACTTTGGAAAAACTCAATTTAGATTAAAAAATGGTTGTGAATCAATTGCTGTATATAAAAGATTCATTATATTCTTCTTGCTTTACTTCAATACTTGAAAGTCATTGAGAAGTGTGAATTTTTCAGACATAAGGGTTCCTAAAGCAAAAATATTACTCTACTGTCATAAAAAATCTATGCTGACTTATAACAATGGATTTTTGTTCTATTTGTCAACATTTAAATTGATAAGGCAAGTTTTCAAGGAAAGGGACTTTCAAACAAAATACTTAAGGTTTTTGGAGATATTTTAATTAATTTGAAATTATAAAATAATTTTAAAAAGGAGAAAACAAAAAGAATGACTACGAAAGTCTGAATTTGATGGTAGTACAGAATTAGGTTTTTTCAAAATTACTTTTGGGTGGTTACACAGTATAAAGCTGAGGTTGTTAACTGTAGAACAACCTCATCGTACTCTTCCAATTAAATTGCTTAGTTTGAAATTACATTTAGAAAAATTATGAAATCATTTTAACTTACCTGTATAATTTGAGTTCACTCAGATTCACACACATACTGTCAAGAACTGGTGGGACATTGTAACGAAGCTTTGTTTTCACAAGCATAAATTCATTTTTTATGGTGATCATACCAAAATCAGCAACTAAAACATCAGTAGATACTGCTGACTGTGGGATTATGACAACAGGCGCTTTAATGTTAATGTCCAGTGCCATTCGGGAACTCTGCTTAGCTAATTCCTTTACACCTGTGGCTGCTTTTTCAGCAGCTTGAACAGTGGCTTCAGTAATTGCTTCCTTTGCCATCTGAAAATTGTTTACAAAAGCCTAGAATTTAAATAAAAATAGTTCAGCAATAAGGATAACAGGCATATTTAATACGGCACTATTAACCAATATGCATTCCAAATTATCATTACATTTATTATCTTCATTTCACATTTAAATACTTCAGGAAAAAGCATTTTGTTATGTTAAGGAAAATATAGATTTGAAGGAAGTAGGAATGTAGAGTCCAATCTGTCCAAACATTTTGGACCATATTTTGCAAGTACTAGTTCTTCAAAGGTTCCTACAGAAAGCATCTTAAGCACGAGCACAAGTCCAGGAGAGGAAACAAACTGCACACCAGTTTTATCTGACAGAATACTAACCAGTCAAAGGTGATACCTCACTAGAACCAGAAGGACAAAAAATCCCAAGATACTCCATCTTATTTTGGTTGAGTCAGAGCTGGTTCTGCCCCATCCAGATCCTCACAGCTTCCAGACACTGAGCCAATAGCTGAACAGTGTCATGTGCCAGGCCAGAGCTGGAGATACATAGCTGAGTATCTGATGATACTGTACTCTATGCTGCTGGATGATCTTCTCCAGAAGCCTCATTTATATTTAAAGAGAAAAATGAGGCCAGAACCCTGAAACACTCCACACTGTAGAGGATTTCTCCTTCCCATAATCCTAACTTGAACCAGTCACAGAAGGAAGAGGGGAATCACTGCCAGACAATACCACCTATTCCCAAACCAATCCTGATCCTCATCCATGCTCAATGATATCAAATACAATGAGAGGTCCAGGAGTGCTTGAATGGATGTTTCACCCACATCCTAAATTCTCACAGATCATTCAGAAGCACAAGTAATATAGTTTCAGTGCATAGTCCAGTCTTAACCCTGAAACAGTCCAGATACCCTGTTCCACCCAGCACCATCTCTCAACAACCTTCCATCAAGAGATCCAGTTTGGTGTAACAGTTAAGGCACCAGCCAAGAAACCAGTAAGAAATACTGATTTCTAATCCTGCCCTAGGCAAGAAAGTTGGTCGGGTGACTTTGAGCCAATCACTATGTTTCAGCCCAACCTACCTCATAGAGTTGTAAGGAAAATAGGAGGAGAAAAGATTATTAAGTATATTTGCTGTCTTGAGTTATTTAAAAAATAAAGGTGGGTTAAAAAAGATCTAAAAAAAGTATGGAGACTAGATAAAAGTTGTCCAACAAACAATGGTCTCTTGAGAATGGGGCATATACACTATTCTTTCAAAACAAATGACACCATCCTGTAATGAGGCATTACTCACTATTTAGCAAATCGTATGCCACCTCCCAGGAGGAAGGCCTTAATATACATGATTTCTTGGGCATCAACTTTAGAGGACGATTACACTTCTTCTATAAACTGACTATTCTGCATTATTTTGAAGATTCTATTTCAAAGTTGCACATATCAAATGGGGAAATATTCTCTCTTGCTACTTCAATCTTAACCTCTAATGTGCACCAGAACCTCTTAAGTATAGAACTTAATAACATGAGAGTAATACATATAATACATGTATTGTTTAAATACAATGTAACAAATTACATTTTAAACTGCTCTCAGGGATAATGCTTAACTGAAAAGTTCTATTAACAATGTGCAGGTAACAATATATAGTTTAAATAATTTCTTCTATCAATACACAATTCAATTGAGAATAAATAGAGATTTCTAAAACAAGTTTTTATGGTGTACAGCAAGCAAAATGAGATTATTTTAAAATCATCCAAGCTGTGTGTTAGTTCACATATATTGGAAGAAATGTTTTGACTTACCAAAATTGCAGAAACAAATTTGTTGACAAAAACAATTTGAATACATCCAACAGTTAAATAAATCTTGCTGTCAACAGCATTCATATTTGTAATGGCAGCACCATCAGTGGCACATATGTATGTAATCATTTTTAAACTAAAGACTTCTTTTCCAGTTATATACAGAGCCTTGAAATAAAAACAAATTTCAGTATAAATATTTTAATTTTAAAGAATTATGTGTATCAAAAATGCCATGAGAAAATTCTATGGCTCCCCTTCTATTCATGTAATCTTTCATGTTTATAAAATGGGCTTTAATCCAATGAATTAATGGGAGGAAAATGTATCATCTTAAACTATATAGCACATATTAAAAGCAGAAAAAGATTTTTTTTTAGAAAAATATCTGTGGTATGAGGTAATTTCAGTCTGTACAATATAGGGACCAATCCAATATGTGCACTGTAGCGGTGACTAGATATAGAATGCAAACAGTAAAGTTAAATTGAGATGAGTAATTTGTCTGTAGCCTTTGTTATAAAGTATATTCAAAGCGATCTTTCTCTCTGAAAAATTAAATAATTTAAACCATCTTCTCCTAAACCAGAGGCAGATAAGTATTTAAAATGATAAATGCACTGTTTTCTATAGAGACCCTAAAGCCTAAAACACAATTGATCTTTGAATTAGTAAATATCAACACATTAAAAGTACACCTGTACCTTTTTATAAAGTGCTGTCACATCACAATCCACAATAATTATATTTTTTAATTTAGCAGATATTTCAGTTGTTTCTTTCTTCATTACAACTTCGCTATCAAGACCTACATATAATAAAATTATAAATGTCAATAAAATCTCATTTTCAAAGCTTTTTCTCTACAATTTTGTTTATTTTTACCTTCTATGCTAATTTCTGAGATCCAGCGTTTCTCTTCCCTTATAAAAATACGTAAACAATTCATGTCTACCAAAAGATGGAGATCGCAAACATCCTCATATTTTGATTTTTTTGAACCTATGGGAAATTAAAAATTACAAATAAATATAACTCCAATAGAAAGTTGAATTTCCTTAGGTGAATGTATTGTATTAACACCCAATTCAGAAGAGGAAATCAATAAGAAATTATATCAGGGGAAGGGGGCTAGTGACTCCTTTCATCCGACTACAATTAAAAAAACACTAATACAACAGGAACTACAAAGAATTACAGCTTATATGTAGGAGATCATTTGTTCCATCTGTTCTAACTATAAATGGAGATTTTATTTCAGATTAATACTAAAATATTAATTTCAGTAAAATTCAGTAATTTCAGAATATTAATATTAATTTCAATATTAATAAAGCTTTCAACAGAAAGGTTTTTTAACAGCTTGAAAGGGATAGCTTTTTTAAATAAATGTTTTAGCATCAGTCATGGAAAGAATAAAATTTTAAAGGTATAATTCTCTCCTTATCTTGTTTCATCAACAAAATCCAAAATTGTTTTCAGACTTGGAACATAAGAATACCTATTAGTCACATTTTAAAAATTATCCTGAGTAATTTAGAAATGGAAGCTATTAATCCTGAAATAATCTCATTAATATTCCTTTAAAGAATTCAGAATGTGAAATGAGGCTGAAATAAAAGAAGCAATGCAAAGTTTGATATCAAAAAGCCTTACTAAATTTTCTAAGAACTTCTTTTTTTTCTTCTTTTTCCTGGACAGTTTCTACTGTATTAGGCTCTTGAGTTGGAAGGAGATTATTTAGAAAATTCATTGTACTCAGAAGTGCTTCGGTATGTAAATGAATATCTATAGAAGAAAAGGTCACCTAAAGAACAAATACATTTTATTAATAATATGCTTTAAAAGCACCTTCTGAGATGTAGCAATTATGTAAATAGAAACCATCATTATTACCTTTATGAGCTGTAGAACGTTCTGGTAAGTAGTCTTCAGTTCTGGGGCATTAATATCTGCCTATCTCAAAAACATAACATTTTAAACTGTAAATATTACAAAACATAGCTGCAACAGAACTATACAGATAGTAGATCTATAATCAATTCTCAGTATTTGCTTTAGTAATTACATTTTTCAAATAGCCTCCTCCACCTATTGAAATTGCTGTTTACCCATTCATAAACCTGTCTTTTATAAATGTGCTTAATTTTAATTCCTTCTATTCTTTTTCCAACATATTTATTCCTGAACAATTAAATAATTTAAACATTTGTCCACAGAAAGTTTAAAGGGAAAAAAAAATCCTTTCCCTTACCTTGATGTACTCAATTGATAGAAGATCTTCCACTGAATTATCCAGAGTTGAAATAATATAAACAGGCTTGTCTTTATTATCTAATTAAAGAAACATTAAAAAGATAAAAAAATCATACTGCAAAACAAATGAATTAGGATCAAATACAGAAAGCCCTCAAGTTACAACGGCCTTTGAAAAAGTGATTTATGACCGGTCCTTGAAGTTATGACTACCCTGTTTCCCTGAAAATAAGATCTCCCTGAATAAGCCCAATTGAGCTTTTAAGAGCATACATATAAATAAGCCCTCCTCTGAAAATAAGCCCTTCCTGAAAATATTGCAATACAGCAGCAGCTATGAGGTGACCACGCTCGCTGCCTCCTGCACCTCAAAAATAATAAATCCTACCGGAAAAAAAGGGCAAGTGCTTATTTCAGGGGCCAAAAAGAAATAAGACTTTTGTCTTATTTTCGGGGAAACACGGTATTGTACCACAATCAGGTGCTTGGCAAACAGCTCCTATTTACGATGGTTGCAATCACATATTTGCGATATGCAACCTAACTAGCTGGCTTCTGACAAGCAAAGTCAGTTTGGGAAGCTGGATATGCTTAATAACCAATAGCTATAAAAATGGTCATAAAAACAAGTTTGGTCACAATGATGACTTGTTCTATGACTGCATTGACTTATGCCAGAAAATTAGATTTGTACTGATAGATCAAGGACTATCCGGGTAATCAAAAGCTATACAAAAAAATAATAATTTAAGCTTAATTAATAAATTAATGTTCACTATTGTTTGTCTCTTGGTACTGCACCCCCTCCCCTTGTGATTGTAAGCCGCCCTGAGTCCCCTCAGGGAGAAGGGCGGCCTATAAATCTCAATAAAATGTGTAAAAAATGTGTAAAATTATAATAAAAGCAGAATTAATTATATTGAACAAAGTAATTCATGAATAACATCTGTAAAGCAATACTTAAGATTTCCAATAAAGTAGTTCTTGCCTTGTGATCAAAATTGGGACCTGAATATTACTATGCAATGATATTGGTAAGCAAGTTGTGCCTGATTTTGTGACTTCTTTTGTCGCATTCATTAAAATTACTAAGCAAATCTGGCTTTCCTTATTGCTGAAAGTCCCCCCCCCCCCCCCCCCC